GATCCTGGCGAAGTTGTTTCTCAGGATCAACTCTGTTATTACGACTAACCCACTGATTTTGTTGTGTCTTGTTCAAAAATTCTCAGCCTTGGCACTGTTGACATTTAGAGCCAGGTAATTTTTTTTTATCATATGAGGGGCTGTCCTGCACATTGTAGGATGTTTAAGCAGCATCCCTGGCCTCCACCTACTAGAAGCCAGTACCTCTCCCTTCAGTGGTCACAAACAAAACTGTCTCCAGACATTGCCACATGTCCCCAGGAGTACAGAATCACCCCTATTTCAGAACCACTTACTTAGAGCAATTAAAGTAATTTTTCTAGTATCTTGGGCTGTAAATAAATTACAATTGAAAAAAAGAGCTGTACAGCATTGTGCAGTATACTTAAAAGTTGGAAGGGTTTACATAAAATCTGTATCACTGGCTTCTCTGTAAAGTTTGGAGTGCCAGGCGGGTCTGGACAAGAAGCAGAAGGCAGTGAAGAGTAGTTGTTTTCTGGATGCTGGGTGAGCTCTCCAGGTTCCCATTCTTCCTGTCACTCCCACTTGGTCCTGACTTACCCCCCTTCACTCTTATTCGTTATTTGCTTGGTCCCTGGAAGTATTTGAGTGTGCCAACTCTAAGTGCTGCAAAAAACATGAATTTATCAATAAATGTATTCAACAGGTGTTTATTGAGCTGCTACTATATGCTGAGAAGATTGTAGGAAATGTCACAAAGTCTCAGTGCTCATGTATCTTACGTTCTACTAGAATATTCTGTGAACATGTTTTACATTACTGTATATTTTAAAATGTAAATGAATATAGAATTACCATCTAAGCAAATGATATTGTGAGTGTACTTTTCTAGAATAAGTAAAACATAATTGATTTAAATGATGATCTATATGATTAACTTTCTCAACCTATTTTTTTTATTTCTCTGAAATGTGATGTTTTTCTTCATTGAGCTTGAAGTAATAGCCTAGGAAGAAGTTATTTCAAACAGTTTATCACCCTAAAACTTGAAAGCCTAAAACACTTGCGAAAATATTAACTTTGAGTACCGTATTTTTGTAGTTTGAGGCAATATATGCTCATGGCACTTACAGTTGCGATATAGTAAGTTCCAAAGCGGTTGTCTGCTTGTCGTATTATCTCTCTCATAGTCCCTTCCCTCATGGAAGAGAGATGTGGGGCTATCCTCTTTTGGCAAACCTTTATTTACCTTTATTATTATTATTATTATTACTTGGAGAAACAAGAAGTGTTTTCTTCTTGTTTTCAGTGTGAGAGAAATGGCTGTCATTTTTTTTTTCTCTTTGGCTTTTGTTGAAATCGTTTTACCTGGCCAAGAGCACTATAAAGAAATAGAGCTTTGGCAAATTCATCCTGCAAAGAATTACTCAGACGTCTACATCTAGGCTATTCTTGTCAAGTAGTTTTCACAGAGGATTACTGAAAGAAAATGTTGCCTGTCATTAATCACATTTTGAAATGTACCTTTTAACACTGCTGATTAGTGGTTATTGGAAATGAGGCAAGCATGCAATTAAAATGGAACTGTAAGTGAATTGCATCTACCAATGCTAGACTTTGACAGACTCTGGATTAGCAAGAAGACAAATGTGTTATGTCTTGCTTCCATTAGCATTTCAGAAGTATGCCCATTTTTGTAAATGACGTTTGTTTTGAGATAAAGTATTTGACTGCCCTACAAGCTATTAGGAATATGGTTATCTGACATTATGGAGATCTCAAAGGATTGAGAAGTTTTGGTGCACTCATGTCTGAATTTGTGAAAATGCAACTGTGTACACATGTAGAGAGGCATGTGTTCATAATTTACATTTTCAGCAATGACAGGAAGCAAGAATTGCGTTATTATTTTGAGGCGTTGTTAGCCAGATTGCATTGAGCAATTTTTATATGGAATAAATGCTTGTTGGAATAAATGTTTCCTGAATGAAATGACAAAGGCTTAACTTGTAAGCAGCTGAGCTGGTGTCCATGAAAAATCCCCAGATCTTGTGGAGCGGTCCTGCTACATCGTAGGACGCTTCTCCAAATGAACAAAATCTCAGGGTATTTTGAAGAGTACCATTTGTTCATTTCAAATGGTCTTGAGAAGGAATTAGGTCTAAGCATACTTATTAAATGACCACTAGCCTTTTTTGGCTAGGAGCCAATATCCCAAAACAAATATGGAGAGCTCTCAGGATAAGTCATGGGTCGGGACGTACCTTTAGGAAACAAAACTAACTCTTTAAAGAACTCATAAAATATGTAAGGTTGACAAGATTTTAAACGATTTCATTGCTATTAGAAAAATGGCATTCTTTTAGAATTGTTATATTGGTGAAAAATTGTACATGTGTTTTGGAACATGCTTGGGAGAAGTGAACACTAATAAACCTGGGTTAAGCTCATAGAGGTCCTGGAAAAATCTCATTGAAGAGCTCAAGTTTTTTAAATTAAAATACCTAAAAATGAATTGTTCATATGCAACATTAAAGAATATAAAATCTAAAATATTCTCATAAGAAATAGATTGGTCCTGGGGCTGACTCCATGGCATAGTGGTTGAGGTACGGGCATTCCGCTTTGGCGGCATGGGTTTGTGGGTTCGGATCCTGGGTGCAGACCTACACCACTCGTCTGCCATGCTGTGGTGGCAACCCAGATGCAAAGTAGAAGATGATTGATACAGATGTTAACTCAGGGTTAATCTTCTTCATGCAAAAACCAAAAAAAAAATGAGGAAGATTGGCAACAGATGGTAGCTCAGGGCTAATCTTCCAAAAAGGAAAGAAAGAGAGAGAGAGATTGGCTCTTAAGGAATCAAGAAGGAGACATTACAGACTCTGTTTTCATCAAGTTCTGTAGCGCTTCTTTTTTTACCCCCAGCTTTACTGAGATACAATTAACAAATAACATTGTATAATTTAAGGTGTACAATGTCATGATTTGATGTACATATATATTGCAATGTTTACCACAATAAAGCAGTTCTTTTTAAAGTTTAGTAAACATCAGCATTTCCAGGAGAACTTGTTAAAGAGATTCCTGGGCCCGATCCCAGGGGCTCTGACTCTGTAGATCTAGGGGCAGCCCATGAGTTTGCATTTCTAATAAACTCCAACGTGACGTTCATAGTGCCAGTCATTGATCACGCTTCAAATAGCATTAGTGTGATGAATTGACAGTTGATACGTGGGCAGTAGTTTGTTTTCATATAAATATTTTTGACTGAAAAAAATGGCAATGGAGGGGCTGGCCCCGTGGCCGAGCGGTTAAGTTCGCGCGCTCCACTGCCGGCGGCCCAGTGTTTCGTTGGTTCGAATCCTGGGCGCGGACATGACACTGCTCATCAAACCACGCTGAGGCAGCGTCCCACATGCCACAACTAGATGGACACACAACGAAGAATATGCAACTATGTACCAGGGGGCTTTGGGGAGAAAAAAAAAAAAGGAAAAAATAAAATCTTTAAAAAAAAAAAAAAAAATGGCAATGGATATTTGAAAATTGTTTCACAAGCATAGGGTCTTCCCGTTTATCTTTAAAGTATATCTTTATTTTTATTTATTTTTTTTTAGGAAGAATAGCCCTAAACTAATATCTGCCACCAATCCTCCTCTTTTTGCTGAGGAAGATTGGCCCTGAGCTAACATCCGTGCCCATCTTCCTCTATTTTATATGTGGGATGCCTGCTACAGCATGGCTTGATAAGTGGTGCTCATGTCCACGCCTGGGATCCAAACCTGCAAACCCTGGGCCACTGAAGTGGAGTGTGTGAACTTAACCACTATGGCATCAGGCCAGCCCCAAAGTATATCTTTATATTAAAACAGGGAGGAGGTTGTTAGAAAGTAGACTAAAAAAATAGTATCGGTATATATCCTGAATTGTATATTATACATGTCTGAAATTTAACTGAGAATTTTGATCCTAATTGAAAAGTTTATCAATAGTGAAACAAAAATCATGTAGATAAAATAGTCATGAGCTTCTGGGAGCCAGGGGTATGCCGATAGTTAGATGGCTGACAACTCTACATGACTGTTAATTTTCACTAATTAAAATTTGCATTAAAATATAATTTTGAGAATCAAATCTCCATTCATATGAACATAACATTTTAATTTCAACCATGAGGGCTGGCTGTAATCTCTTATTTATTACTACATATTATATATAGTATATTTATATAGTAGTATAGTACTATATTTTATGTATTATAATTATATATTATATGTAGAACTATATATTATACACACAGATACTTTTTTATTCAACACTATTATTATTTATTATGACGTTTGTTATTGAACAATGGAGCCGAGCTATTACCTTTGGCTTATTAAAATACATATGGTAACAAATTATATATATATATTCAAACTTTATTCTGAAACTCTCATGTCAGAATCTAATGTTCAGGTTTATTCAATATATTTCAATAGAGTAATTAAACTGAGTGAACATTAATGTTGTCGGATTCAGTGAGCTAAAGACGTGAGTTAACAGCAATATATATGTGTATATATACATACTTACATGTATTTAATACAGAGCAATTTCACTCAGTCACTTACAGGAGAGTATACAAAAAATAACCGTATTTTGCCAATTTAAAACCAAGTTAATATTAAAATTTATAAGAAAAAATTCATCTGTAACAAGCTTTAAAAAATATCTCTTAAATTAAAAAATTTCTTAGCCAAATCGTTCAGCCTGACAATGAACATCACCACTTTTCCTAACTTCACCTCCACACTGTGCACCTTTTCTTTTTCAATAGTGTTGAAATAGACATTTTTTTGATTGTTCTGTAATGATGCTCCTGCTCAGATTCAGATTATGCGTAGTTAAAACCACCCCCTGGGAAGTTGGATTTCCCAAACTAACTCGGAAAAGTAGGTGTTGAAAAGGAAGGAGCACAGGTGAACTCTTTGCCTTGTGGCCTTGTTTCCTCTCCGTGTTTGTTTATTTATTCCTGTTGTTTATCTCTCCAGTGCCTGGAGCCCTGCAAGGAATCCTGGGACCTGCGGAAGCAGCAGTGCCAGAGCTTCTGTGAGGTAAGAGGGCTCCCGGGCCCAACCAGAGGTGCTCGGGGCACGGCCCTCATCTGGCAGTGCCCCAGTGGACTCCCTGCCAGAAAGGCACTGCATTCTTCTGCAGCTCGGGGAGTTCAGTTTACTTGAGGGGTGCGTGCCTGCGTGTGTGCGTGTGTGTGTGTGTGTGTGAATTCACATAAAAAAGAAAAAAATTTTGAGTCTTCTTAAAACCCAATCACCTACTGCTTCCATTATTGGTTAATCAGACAGGAAAAAAAAGTGTTACCTATGCTTGCAAGACTAGAAGCTTTTTTATTTTTTTTGGCGGAGGAAGATTCGCCCTGAGCTAACATCTGTTTTTAAAGGTATAAACTGTTGCCATCCTCCCATCTTACATCCTGGCTATTCTACGGGTAATCCTCTGCATGATGTTGAGATTTTCACACTGTGTGGGAAAAGCCACCCATTTTATTAGTAGTGGGATTTCTCAAAACATTTTCATCTCACTGTTCACCCTGTGGGCTCCCTGTATCCTGGACAGAAGGCTTATCTACTTTCTTTTTTTGTTGAGTAAGATGGGCCCTGAGCTAACATCTGTGCCAATCTTTCTCTTTTTGTATGTGAGCCACCATCACAGCATGGCCACTGATAGACAAGTGGTGTAGGTTCACCCCCAGGAACCAAACCCAGGGCTGCCGAAGTGGGCTGCACTAAACTTAGCCACTAGGTCACTGGGGCTGGCCCAGGCTTGTCTACTTTTAACTGTATGAGAGACATCTTACTTGCTCTATGCTCTGAGTTAAATTATAAAGAGTATTATCGTCCCGGGAGACCAGCGTCTAAAATCATCAATTATGATGAAGAGGGGCCCAGAAGGACTGCTTTGCTGGACTCCCTCCCCGAGGGCAAACCAGAGATCCGGGGTCTGGGCCAGCCGGGGATCCGCTAAGATGCAGCCAGGAGGATGTGAGCTAGGCTGACTACACAGTGGCCTGTGAAAGTAAGGAGAATCGGAAAGTCGGTGCGCTCTCGTGGAGAGCAGCAGTGGAAAGTCCACTCCGGCAGTCCGAGGAGCTCCACTGAGGCTCTTGGGAGCGAACCATGGCTTTGAAGTGACGTGATGTGTTAGGGCTTCTCTGAGTGGAACTGAGGGCTGCTCGGGAACTCTTCCGAACCATTCCAGATGGACATAATAGTCTGGTCTTCCCCGCCTGCAGCGAGTTTCACCTTGGAAGGCACACAGATTCCACTCTGGGAACATGGCTGTAGAATCTTGAGGAAAAAGATGTGCCATGCCGTGCCATTTTCCTTACAAACACAGTACCCCTTAATATCCCTGACTCTGAGTTGTTATTTTATGTCCAATCCCTGAGAAGGAAGATATACTTGAAGGTCATCTAAAACCTTTCTCCCTGGAAATTCCAAATGTGATAGCTCCCTGTGTAACTGCTGTTCTCTCTGAAACAACTCTGAGGCCTTCTGAACCAAATCCAGTTTATTGTGTACAAATTGTCAACTGCTCTGGCAGTAAAGGTTAATTGTAACTTGAAAGGTGGAAGAAATAGAGGCCAGTTAATGTGAGGAACTTTATGGAGAGCCCTCAGCCCAACAGTCAAACTACTCAAACTTTCATATGCGATTTTAGTTCCTTTGATTGTTCTTATGGTTCTTATAGGGGTTTCTTTGTTTCTGGTTTATTTTGCAGTAAATATCTGACTATTATGCCGAAATAGACTGAATCCTGAAAAAACTGATCCCCGTTTCAGCATTTTCAAGGCTAGTCATTCACCGAGACAGACCTAATACAATCCTGTCCGTCCTCTTGCTCGTCACATTATTGGTTAAGAGTGCACACAAAGTCCATATTGTCATGCACCTAAGCTTTCCGTTTGAAAAAGTTCAGACCCAGAAGGACTCTAGATTTTATTCTTCTACAGCAGAAGCAACTAGACTGTTAGACAGATTTGGCCCGATGTGTTTATTTGCAAGATAGCTGAGCTTTATTTGTCTTCTAAGGCATGAGTTTGCAAACCACGGCCCACAGAGCAAAACTGGCCTGCCTCTTGTTTTTGTAAATAAAGCTTTATTGGAACACGGCCGCACCAGTTTGCTCACGTATTGTCTATGGCTACTTTTGTGTTACCACAGCAGAGATGACTAGTTGTGACAGATCACATGGTCCGTCAAGCTAAACCTATTTACTGTCTGGCTTGTTACAGAAAAAGTTTCCCCACTCCTGCTCCTAAGACAAAGAACGATAGTCACAATTGTATCACAAAACCCACTTAACCAACCTCCTAGAATGTTGTTACTTCTTAATCTGTCTTACCAGCACCCATTTCTAAACATAAAGCATTGTTCTTGGTAATTTTAATTATAAAATAAACTTTCCTACATGGAAGAGACTTTTGGAGGCATGTTAATAATAACATACCTAGAATTGGTTCATGGCTTCCTCATGTATTGATCTCTAACTTCTCAGTTGATTATCTATACAATTCTACTTTTGTTACTTTCAGACTGGTACCAGAGTTAATAATGTTATTTTCTAAGGGAAGAGGTTAAGTGTTTGTATTAGAACAGGAATCTTTCAGGATTCCTTCTATGGACCATCTGGGATAATTTTTCCTATATCATTTTTTGGAACATGTTGGGTCGTGATAGGTGTATAGACAGATCCTGCTTTATTGCTTTTGTTTATTAACTAACCATTATCTCCATCCTCCTATTTAAAAAAAATCTTCAAAACCACAACAAACCATTTTTCCTACTGATCATAAAATGCACATCTCCTCACATTTAGATGTTCCTTACTTACAATTGATGGAATCTAAAATTATAAATGAAAATATTCTTTTTCTTTCTTGATGGTATATAAAATAATCATGTCTGTTAGAACTGATGTTGTCTTACTTTTGATGAAACGTGATATATCATAGTTTATGAGTGACCTTGCTCGATCACGCACCTCCCGTCTTTAATTCTGATGTTCCTGATTTCATGACGTCCCAACCCTGAGAGGTACTCACTGGGATGTCAACATTGGCGGTATGAAGTGTGTACTAGGGGTCCTGGAAAGCTGAGGCCCCATCTGCTTCAGGGGTCAGTCAATGGGAGAGGTACCTGTTGTTTATATTAAAGCTGTTATTGGATCAACCTGGGTTCTGTAGAGCTAGTCCTTGTCAGTGTGAAAATAGGAATAAAAAGATGGTTTCCACTGTACCACAGATACGATTGTTGAATTTTTTCTTTGTGTTTTTTCCTTTTCAAATTGGTTTCCAAGCTTATTACGTTTGATTTTCATAAAAATTCTTGGAAGTTAGGTCTGAATTTCACTAGATGAACTTTTGAGACAATGGAACTTACGCTCAAGGAGAAAGGGTTTTATTTGCCCAAGATTATGTGGGTAATCGGTAGAGGAATAAGATCTAAAATCCAGGTGGTGTGACCTCTAGTTACATTTCTTTCCCACTCTACTCTGTCCCAGGCACCTCCTCCTGACTCTACTCCATGTCACAGCATACGGAGTAGAGGATCAAGGCTTACTTCCTCCATCAGGAAATAACGAATGAGCCTGTCTCTAATGTAAAGTCGTTGGCCCAACCATCCGTACCTGAAGAGGCTTAGCCTCAAACAAGAGGAAGTTTGGATTATGCAAAATCATGGTTAATTGATGGTCCTTCAAGGAGATGAAGGAAGAACAAGGCTCCTTCTTACTTCAGGGTGCTCGTTAGCCACAGAATGTTCCAACGTGACTGAAAAGAGACCTCAAAAACTAAAGGTGTTAAGATCGATCTCGTTCCTATGTGGGGACTTATTGCACTCAAAATTGTGATCCTCCGCTGCTCCATAACCCAGTTTTATGTCTTAAAATCGAGGGTGTGCCGTAAACGCATCCCTTCAGGATGTGAGCAGAGACTTCCCCTGCCTGGGAACGGCTGGAAATGAGTTAAAGGCACTGGAAGAAGATGATGAGAGCTAAACAGGAAAATGATAGCATTTGCCCCAGAAGTGTGTGCGTTGTAGGGGGGGGGGAGCTCAGCACATAGAGTTTGGTACAGTTTAGTAATCTTTGCTTTAGTGGAGCAGAACAATAGCTTACCTGATTAGAATATCCTTGTGAAGGGACAAGTGGAGTTGATGCTCTTCTTTTTGATCATATACATTTCTTTTCTTTCTTGGAGGTTGGGGATATACCAGAGCCTAAATAAAATAAAGCTGGCTTTGGGCGCCACATCATGGGAGTCACAGATACAATTGCCTGTATTCTTTTGAAAAGTCAATTAGTGAACCATCCTGAGTCCACTAAATTAGCATCCAACATAACAGATGGATTCAATTTTTATTAAAAAGATTCCCTATTTTGGAATAGTTTCCTAAGAAAGCTATAGTGTGGCTCATGGGTACTCGCTTTAGGGAGTATTAACATTGAGGTACTGAGTATTGAGTAATGAGGTAGTATGAGCAATGGTTAAGAAACACAGGCTCTTTCATTTACTTGCACAGTCTTAGCACTCGAGCAAATGAGAGATGGTGGTGGCTAGTCCAGGAGGGTCGTGGTGGAGGTGGTCAGAAATGGTCAGCACATAGTTTGAAGGTAGAGCCAACAGAGTGCGTGACAGATTGGATATGAGGAATGGGAGGAAAAGAAGAATCAGTGACCATGCCAGGGTTTTTGTCATGAACAACTAGGGGACTAAGGAAGTTGGGATGACTTTGAGATGATACTGAGATGTAGAATATGTGACAGGCACAGATTTTTGAAGGGATAGGTCAGAAATTTGGCATTGAGCATGCTTATGTTTGAGATGTAAATGAGACATCCACGTGAGATGTATCATAGGCACATTCATGAGTCTGGAGTTGAGAAGAGACATCTAGGCTGGAAATAGAAATGCCATCAGTGATAGATGGTATTTAAAGTCATGAAGCTGGATGAGGTGACAGAGAACAGCTGCACAGGTTATGCCCTGAATCACACCAGTATCAGCAGGATATGGAGAAGAGGAAGACCCAGCAAG